TAGATGCTAACAAATTATGAAAATCAAGGCTATGTGAAATTCAATGGAAAAGCCAACTCAGCTCATATTATTGTGGGAAAATTCAACTACCAGTCCTTCATCACCTTAAAAAAAATAGGGTGAATACATCTCATATCAGTCTTAATCTTGCCCCTGGTTCATTAATTTCCCTTAATCACTGTCACTAGAATCCATGCTATTCGAAGAGCTATGTTCTACACTCAATCATTTGATGGTACGTATATCCTATGCGAATAAAAGTTGGGTTACGAGGAATCTCTTGTTTCATAATCGTTGAGCTTACTTCCATTTCGAGTGAAAGTATTGGGTGAAGAGATTAGGAGGTCAGTTCCACCAGAAGACAACGGTGGATTCTTCTTGACCAGCTTTTGATTGGATTTACTGGAACATTTATGCTGACGCTGTTTCCGAGGTAATCTCCTTCAATTCCGGTGAAAAAGTGCTAAGCTTTCGTCCGTTATCTGACGAACATCATCAGAGCAAGATATCATCATCACAACCAAATTCAAGCTAACGAGTCAATAAACTTAGAAGCTCCGAAGGAGTTGCGAAAAAGGTCAAACCAACACTTTATAAACCAAATTGATGGAAAAATCAAATTTAAAATAGAGGTTTAGAAAAATGAGCTTTTACCTTTTTTGAATGCTGAGGTCATGTACTCCAATCGGACACTAATGAGACTGTTAAAAAATAAATCATATTCGGGAATAGCCTTCGATTTCCAGTCTCATCACAATTATGGACTGACGATTGGAATACTAAAATGTTTGCTCATCAGAAGCCTACGATTGGCTGACATGGAGTTATGGGACAAAAAATTGAACAAACTTACTCGGATTTCCTGTAGTAATCATATAAAAAAATTAGTCAGAAAGAACAGATTTTAACATACATTTTATGAAAATATTATCAGGAATCGAGAGGAAAATTAAAAGTCGATATGCCTGTCCTATGAATTGAATAAAAAATGGCGACCGTTACTAAGATATTGGAATATCAAGGTGATTACAAAGTAAAAGACAACACTTGACCAGTCTGCCGACGCAAAACAGGAAAATTGACTAACTAGATTGCTCGGGAGTCTATCTTTTAAAATGTGGCAAATGTAATCAGAAGTTTATTGGTGAAAGAAGAAGAAAAATCAGTATACGGCATCAAAGAGTCTGCAGAAACATGGATACGGTACGATCGAAAATAGCGGAAAACATTATAAGGATGGGATACGAAATCGATTGGAAATCGACATAAAGGTTGGCCTAATATGGAGAAAATACGAGAAAAGGCAGGATTCAAGAGGACATCGATATCCTGATTTAGAGGAATTCAATGGCCAGGAGACTCGAAGTTGGCGGGATTAGAGAAAACTTTGCATATTCCTTAACCAAATTCGAAGAATATCAGGGAACAGGAGGATTTGCAAAAAGAATACGACTAAATCAAGAAAATATTTTAAGATGAGGTAAAGAAATCACGAGGCCGCAGAGAAACAATCAAAGTCAAGAGGAGACGGCTATAGTTAACCTATTCAAAACTAGTAGAACCACAACATTTTGGGGTTGGCACATGAGTTGCATAAGATGTGATAGACTTGTCATTATGGATAGAAGCACAATAGACGCCGCGGAGGCTAGAGCTAGTTGGATAACAGTAGATGTGCTTGATCATAGGCGTGATTCGTGAAGTAATTCTTTGATAGTAATAGCAAATATTTGCTTGCATTATCGGTAACCTCACTATAAAATATATCTGCAAAAAGCCTAAATCGCATTGAAATTCGCATCCTCCTTTCGAATAGCTAGCATTCGTGGCTGCGTAGCGAAGTGATAACGTAGCACAAATTATAGCATACAAACAGGCTTAAAATCCCGTCAAGAGTTGCTAAAAAGAAAGTCAATCCTACACTTTATAAGCCAAATTTGAATCACCTAAAAGATATCGAAAGGTCATTCCATATAAAAAAGCCTTTTGGGAAGTAAATCAATGTGAAATTCCCTCCATTATAGGAAAATTCAACTATTAGAGCTACGCTATCTCATGAGATATAAAGTGGACAAAGTTCTTCTATAAATACGTTGGTTAATTAAGCACTAGTTCAAGCTTAATAAGTATGAAGTTGTCACTTGTCAAAACTACCTTGGACAAAAGCAAATCAATTTACAAAACAGCAACATAAGCAACATGATGAAATCCCAAACCCATAGAGATAAACGTTGAACTGGCAAGCATGAGATAAGGTTACATGAAACAGACAGATAAACTTGCACAAATATATATAACAATATCTACTCGTGAGACATGAGTTGGGTGGCAACCCAGCAAGGAGAGTAGGAGCTCCATCCACCGGACTCCAATGTGGAGGGCGTTCTTTAGTTGAGTGGATGTTCAAATGGCTATTGCCTTCAGCTTGCCCAGGATTGCTTTGTCCAGAAAACTGAAATTGTTGAGTCAGTGGTTGTGAATGGTGCTCCAAGAGATGATCACAGGTGAGCCGCAGTATCCGGCCAATCGGTGGCTGATGAGTAACCGAACCCAGTACAGGCGAGAGCCATTCAAGCCATGTGGCCAGTTGATGTGAGAAAAGTAACGCGGTGTCAAAACGAAGAGCCTTGAATCTGCTATCTAGATGAAAATTATCGTCAATAGGATACAGATTCTTCTTGTTGCCTCCGTTCTCAGCATTTTTAAGCCCTTCAATATCCTCTATATCAACATCGGCATCACGAGCAAACGGATCCAATGTTTTAGCAGCTTTGTCATCCAATCGAGCTGCCGATAAGAGTAGTCCTTTCTGATGGCGAATCTTGTTTACACCAATCTTAACCTCATGTTGGGCGATTCGATAAAAAAGAAATTGTTCCTGAGGGCAAGTCAGCTCAGCACTCACAAAAGTATTCTCAAAAGCATCTTCAACGAGTTGGTAATCAGTAAAAACACTGCCATCTTGGGGATTTGTCAGGAGCGGGCATAGAATATCTGAGTGAGAACAAATCAAGAATAATATTACCATTAAAAGTTGATATGTAAGAAACTAAATACCTTAAATTATGACAAGCAACAAATCTAACCACTTATAGTATATCAACTCCAAAAATACATCTTATTATAATATCCCCTAGGATTGAGTATTAGCGTTTCACTGAGCCAATCATCGGAATCGTTTCAGCTAACTGTTTCCGCATCACACCAGAGAAAATAGCATTAATCAGTCGTATTTTCTAAGCAAAGAATAAATAAGAACAGCAGCAATCTTAAAACTTGGACGAAAATAAGAAAGATGCTTGGCTGTACCGTAAACGAGAAGAGAGCCTGATGAGGTTCTTCTTTAATATAGATATCTTAACTAACACTAAATGGAGAATCTGTGAGTGAAACTTAAACTTAGGTAACAGCATCTAAGGGATAAAGAATACTTGAAGTTCCCCAGGACTAAATAAGACCAAGATAAGTTTAAATACAAACCCAATTAAAAGCTATAATAAGCCGTTTTGGTACTAACTAAGGGTTAAACGTCAGGATTGGTGAGAATAGTGAAAATACACTAAATATTCCTGAGAAAACCAAAATTTAGAGCTAAGAGTAAAACATTACTAGAATGGACTACAATTTTCGCAGATATGGCAAATTAAGATATAGGTTGCTTAACCATGCATCTCAGAGAAGGCTAAAATCATAGGTTAAAAAGAGCCTTGAAATGTGAACTAGTGAATTTGACATATTCGTGCTTTCTGAGACTTCCAAAGAAGGAAAATGAGGAGTGCTGTGTGAGAGATTACTGATTCTGAATCGACAAAATCAAAAAAAGTATTGGTTAATAGATGGTTAAGAAACAATAATAAAATTTCATTAAATTTATTAATTACACAAATAAATGTAAATAATATCTAATTGTAGCATAGAGAAGTGTATAGAGGAGTATAACTTTAATGAATACATAATAGATCATAGCTTCAAGACATGGCAAAAGTCATTGGATCAAACAAAATTCTTTTCACTGAAGGTTTAGCAATATGATGACTCTATTTGCAGATAGAAAACAAATCGAGCTATGAAAATTCAAGATTTTAGCCTGGAATTATATATTACAGTAACTTCTTATTTTAGCGCAAGTTATTCGAATTAATACAATATTATTTAGGCCTGCCTGGACTATATCCAGAGCAAGATGGGTTTGCATAAATCTCTCCATCGTATTACGTACTACTTCCTTAAAAATTTTCAGTATAGCTGCAATTTGGCGCCGGGATAGTTTTCCGGGGTCCAGGAGGCTCGTACTGCCTCAATAAGTTTCTCTGATATAATAACAAACAAATTTAAGATATTTTGTCAATATTTTAATGTTTTTGTAGCCGTATTGACAATGGCGACGGTAACGCATAAAGGACCATATTAATTCAGTAAACTCCAAGTATTATTAAATAAAGGGTAAAAACAATTCAAACAATGCTTATTAGAAGTGCATGTGTTACCACTTTAGCTGTGCCTTAACATAAATTGGAGTAAACATTACCAGTGAGTATGAAAATTATATTCAGAAAATTTTTAGCTTAATTAGCTAACCCCTCAAAATTCTCTCCTGGGTCTTAACAACATCTTCGTTGATTTCTTTCATTTCTAAATATTGTATTCTTAAAGAATAAGTATCAAATGCGTTTTTAGAAATTATGGAATAGACACAGTTTGTGATGGTGGACCAGGTGAGAGTATCTTAAAGAACATATCATTTATCAGCACAAAAAGTTAAACTGAATTCTGACAATAATCTGCCAAAAAATGATACATTATATATAGATATGCGTCGGTCCCCCAAAAAAGGAAGATATAAACATATGTTCTGTTCCTATATCATACCAATTAACTCTAAACATAACTTCAAGATCTGGGCACCAAAACAAGTTAGAATAAGTAATTAATTAAGCCAGAACTAATAAAAACGCTTGAATTTACTCTAATCCTCCATTGTTAAATACAAAGCTTCATGCCATGCAACAATAAAAAAAAGCTTCAAGAGTAGTCCTTTCTCACAGCAAATTTCTAGCTATAGAAGAAAATTCGCACTCCAGCGTGATTTGGCCAGGATCCTGTCTCCGGAAGATTTTGAAAAACTCCAGATCATGATAC